CATTTGCCTGCAATGTTTGGATTCTGACCAGATTACAAACGTTCTCCGTGCAGCATGTTGAACGTTTTTAGAGCGTCTTCCAGGAACTTTATCCTGCCTTTAAGAAGAACATTCTGGGAAATAAAAGAAAACATTAATGGAACTGTGCAGAACGTTCTCAAAATGTTTATAGAGCAACACAAATCATGTTAATCGAGTTAAAACAGACATGGACGCATTCGTTTAAAGTTTGGTGTTGACTTTAATCAAACTAGTGGATAAATAGTTTAATCAGCCAGATGGTTTAAAATAGCTAAAACATTATAGAAAACAGTTGGCAGCGAAAAGTAATGTGTGGCTGTAAGATGTAGTTGTCGTGGCTAATCATGGTGGATAAATGACGAGAATAATTGGAAATAAACAAAGAAAAGGCTTATTCTAGTTCCCCAGAGCCCAACATGTCATTTTAAAATGTCTTGTTTTCTCCAACTGATGGTTCAAAACCACCAGCTGGACATAAAAACTAAAAACATCTTCAGGTCGTCACCGGAAAAGGCGATAAAACTAGAAAACAATCACATTTAGGAATTCTCTTTAGCAGGTATAATATTTACCATTTATTATATATTTACCATTTTCATGTGTTAGCTTTGCAGGTGTTGCATGAATTAAAAATGTGCCGTGATGTTGGCGTGAAATGGTGAACGACTTCCAAATGGATCATGTTTACGCCTCAGATTGCTTCTGAATTGTTTCACACAAATTTGAATCTTGCTGGAGGTTAAAAGTTCACCAAAANTGCCACAATCCACCATGAGCTGCCTCTGAGGTGTCACTACCCGCCACTGCCGCCAGGAGGCGCCCAACCTGGCTTCGTTCAGCTCCACCGCTGAGACGTGTTTTACTTTGGAGGTCCCGGTTGTCGGTTGTCGGTGTGCGACGTGACGGATTGACGTGATCCGTGCAGATCAGAGATCCTCCTCCGGGGGAGCGAGTCGACAGACGGACTGCAGGAGCGTCGCCGGGTGCAGGGACAGCAGCAGCAGCAGCAGCTCCACGACACGCCGCTCAAAATGGGAGTCGAGATCGAGACTATCACCCCCGGAGACGGTAAACCGAGTCCGCGCCGGTCACTTGGCGCGTTTGCATGAATGTGACGGAGCCGCAGAGACGGCGGCGTCGACTGTCCGTTTATATTAAGCGCCTGTTTGGTTTCTCCACAGGAAGGACTTTCCCCAAAAAAGGACAGACGTGTGTGGTGCATTATGTGGGTGAGTTTGAAATAAGAAACTTGTTCCTGTGCAAATCCTCCATGCACGTTCGTGGAGGGCCGTGAGAGTGGAGTGACGGCTGCAGGCAACTGTGTCCTGCAGCCGCATGAAAAATAGCCCCGCATGGAGACCCTCCAAGTGTCACTGCAGACCCGCTCGGAACATTATTAGAACATGTGGAGCGGCCGCGCACAGCCTCGAACCGGCGGCTCCTCTGCAGGGCAGAGACTCGGCGCTGTCAGTCAGCGGCCAGGCTGCGTGAAAATTTAACCCGTTCGCCTCCTGTCGGTGTGGATGTGACAGGAGCGAAGCGAGCAGCATCAGCGGCGGTGCGTCCTGCGCTCCGGAGCCGCCACTGCGTAAAAATAATGCGCGTTCCAGCGTGGCCTCATGGACACAAAACCATCGGGCTCGTCTGGGGAGTCACGCAAAGCGAAAGAAGCCGAGACGGATTCCGCCGCAGGGTTCACTCAGAGGCCCAGACAGACAGACAGACAGACAGACAGACAGACAGCGGGGTTTTAAATCCCGTCTGATTCGCAGCGCTCCTCTGTCTTTGTTGGAGTTTCTCTGGGGTCGCTGGGGGGGCTGGTGGCGTTCAGCTGAGCGGATTATAACCGTCTGGACCTCTGTAATAATGGCCAGACTGTGTTTTTCTCCCCGCTGCTACGCAAAAACAACACGTGAATGACAAGAAATGTTTGAAGCGTTCCCACGTGGTTCACCCAAATATTCCTTTTAATGCGTAATATCTGAGTTTCCATCAGTCACATGCTCCCACAGTGTGTGCAGCGAAATGCAAAGTTCCTCAAGGCTGTGCAACAACAACATCATAAAGAACATCCTTTACAAACAGCAGACCAACAGAAAGAGGCGCAAATCATAAAGAGGCTGCAGCTGTTGTACCAATACACAGCATTTCCTTTTATTTCATTAACATATAAAACTAGACATGGTTAAACCAAACATACAAACGTTATGTCTAAGCTGTTAAAATTGCAAAGAAAGAAAGAAAAAGCTCATTCGAATCCCACGGAGCCCAAAATGGTCATTTCAAAA